TGTAAGGAATGCGGGAAAGCCTTTACTATTTCCTCAAACCTCACTACACACATAAGAACTCACAGTGGAGAGAAGCCTTATGAATGTAAGGAATGCGGAAAAGCATTTTCTTACTCCTCATCCTTCACTAAACATATGAGAAGACACAGTGGAGAGAAGCCTTATGAATGTCAAGAGTGTGGCAAATCGTTTTGTGATATCTCACCCCTCAATAGACATATAAGAGCTCACAGAGGAGAGAGGCCTTATGAGTGCAAAGAATGTCAGAAAGCCTTTAGTCAGTCTTCAGGCCTCATCAGCCATATAAGAACTCACAGAGGAGAGAGACCTTTTGAATGTAAAGAATGCCAGAAAACCTTCAGTTGGCCCTCAGCCCTCACTAGGCATTTAAGAATTCACAGTGGAGAGAGGCCTTATTATGAATGTTAGGAATGTGGGAAAGCCTTACTTGTTCTTCATCCCTTCAAAAGCACAAAGAAACTCACAGTGGACAGAGGCCTTTTGAATTTAAAGATTATGGAAAAGCATTTACTTGGTCCTCGGGTCCTTACTAAACATAAAAGAACTCACAAAGGAAACAGGCTCTATGAATATAAGGAATGTGGAAAAGCATTTACTAGGTCCTCAGGTCTTACTATACATATAAGAACTCACAGAGGAGAGAGACCTTATGAATGTCAAGAATATCAGAAAGCCTTTAGTTGGCCCTCAGCCCTCACTAGGCATCTAAGAATTCACAGTGTAGAGAAGCCTTATGAGTGTAAGGAATGTGGGGAAGCCTTCAGTCAGTCCTCAACCTTCAGTAAGCATATAAGAACTCACAGTGGAGAGAAGCCTTATGAATATAAGGGATGTGGGAAAGTCTAGTTGTTCCTCATCCCTCACTAAACACATGAGAACTCACAAAGGCGATGTTTAGTGCAGTCAAGTGGGTTCCAACTCATAGCTACCCCGTATAGTGTATCCGAGGGTTGGTGTGGTGCTGTAGAATAGGCACTGAATTTCAAAGTTTGAACAACAAAGGACAGAAGCCTTATAAATGTAAAATGCCCTCATCCCTCATGAGACATATAAGAACTCACAGACAAGAGAGGCCTGTGAGTGTAAGGTATGAGACAGCATCTTCAGTTCTCTCTCCATCATTTGAAAACACATGTGAGGGTACACTGAATAGCAGTAACATACGTATTACACATGTGACTGATGCTGAGAATGTATAAAACTAGGAAAGCCTTCAGTGTCCATTCTTGCTTAGGACTTCTATGAGATCTCACATACTGAGGAAACTGACTATAAGCAAAGAACTTCAGTTGTACTTCATAACTTTGGATAAGTATCAAAATGTAATTTTAGTTCCATTGTATAAAATTTTTCTTTATTACAAAATCTCATCAACTTTGGTGTCTCAACTGTGTGCATGTTTTTTAGCCGGTGATATTTTTTAGGATCAGTTCTCATTGCATAAATACTTGATTTTGACAAAAATTTATAGGAAAAACTAAAAATCACTCTGAATTTCACTACTCTAATGATTTTGGGTATTGAAGAATCTGGATTATGCAGTGTGTCATGATAGTTGTATGATTCCTTTATAAGGAACTTCCAATTTGCTACCAAAAGGGTTGTGCCACTTTATAGGCTACTAACAGGTGCTGTAGGATAAGCACTGAACTACTATCCACAAGGTTAGTGGTTCAAATCCACCAGCCATTCCTTATGTTACAAATAAATTCCGATGTTGCACAAAAGACACTCAGACCAAATTACCTTGGCAAAGCAAAATTTACTACTGCAAGAGGGTGCGTGCACATACTGTGCAGGAACAGGCCAGCGAGCACACCAAGTGGGCAGTCCTCTCAGGTTTTTAATCCCTGACGCGAGTCTTAAGGCTGTGTCTCATCCCAAGGGCTAGGACTTTGACCACACAATCTTTTGCTTCACCCAGTTAACTAGTTCACATTTCTAAGGCACGCATTCCTATTTTAGGAAAGGAAAAAGAAAGATGGTAAAGTTTCTGCTTTCTTCGGGAAGTAGTCAAAGAAAAAGAGAGATCATAAGGTCTTTACTCACTTCAAGAAGTAGTCAAAGAAAAAGAGAGAGATCACTCTTCTTTGGATTTTGTGAGGAATGAACAAGAGAATAAATGTAAAATGCTTCTTAGCTGAAGATGCCTGGAATCAGTTAGTCCAATGGACTATCGGAACACATGATACCAGCCTCTAAGATCCTGAGACTAGAAGAACTAGTTGGTGCCCAGCTGCCATTACCAACTGTTCTGAAAGGAATCATATTAGAAGGTCCTGGGTAGAGTAGGAAAACAAGGTGGACCGAAACTCAAAATCATGAACCACAGGAGGAAGTGAGATAATTGATGTTACGTGGAGGGGACTGCAATCACTGAAGTGAAATAAAGTATCTAATTTGTTGAATGTAAAACTGAAAAAAAAAAGAGAGAGAGATCATAAAGTCTTTACTCACTTCAGGAAGTAAAGAAAAAAAGAAAGGTTACCCAAATACAATAAACAGGATTATAATAAATTCACACACACACACTTAGAAACCCTATGTAGGGTTCCTGTATGTCAAACCACCTCACCAGCACTTAACAAAAACAAGAAAACGATGTATAATCCTGTTGTTGCTGGGATCTGGAGGAATGTAGCACTCTCTGTTTGCCTCTGGCTTCAGGTGAGGGATTTGGGTTGACCGTTCACCTGACAAGCACCCCTGCATTTGTGAGGTGAGTATGTGGGGTGCAGGATCTGGATGAGGCCCAAGTGTGGGGAGCTCAGGCGATGCTACTACTGCCCACCTGGAAGTTGGAGAAACCCTGCACTGTGGGAAGACTGTACCTGCAGGAAGCCTGCACTAGACAGCCCATGGGGAGCAAAGTAGGGACAACAGCGCCCTCTCCAGGAGCCTGGCAGGCGGTCATACTAGAACCCGATATGAAAGCCCTTGTTCCTGCAGGGTTCTCCATTATCCTCTGAGTCCTGGTGTGGTGCTGTGGGCTAATGTGTCAGACTGCAATGTCCTTTGAGCTGCAAGGTCAGTGGTTCAAGCTCACCAACTTCTCCTTAGAAACCCTATACAGGGTCACTATGGGTCGGAATCAACTCGACAGCACTTAACAACAACAGTACACTGAGAGCTGGCAAAGGAGACATATAAGGCCCATCAGCACATTCCAGGTCAAAATGGGTTATCAGAAGTTGTTGTTGTTGTCAGGTGCCATCGAGTCGGAACCGACTCATAGCGACCCCAAACACAATAAAACAATGTCCCATCCTGGGCCAACCTCACTACCGCCACCACACTTGAGTCCATCAATGCTGCCACTTGGCCAATGCATCTCGTTGGGGGTCTTCCTCTTTTTCTCTGACCCTCCATCTTACCAAGCATGACATCCTTCTCCAGCGACTGTTCCCTCCTGACAATATGTCCAAAGTATGAGAGGAGAAGTTTAGCCATCCTGGCCTCCAAGGAGCACTCTGGCTGTACTTCCTCCAAAATAGCTCTATTGGTTCTTTTGGCAGTCCATGGCACTTTTAGTATTCTCCAACACCACAACTCAAAGGCATCAATTCTTCTACAATCTTCCTTATTCACTGACCAGCTTTCGCATGCATATGAGGTTATTGAAAATACCATGGCTTGGGTCAGGCGCACCTTAGTCCTCAAGCTGACATCTTTGCTCTTCAACACTTTAAAAAGTTCCTGTGCAGCAGATTTGCCTAATGCAATACGTCGTCTGATCTCTTGACTGCTGCTTCCGTGAAAGTTGATAGTTGATCCAAGAAGAATGAAGTCCTTGACAACTTCAATCTTTCTCCATTGATAAGAATGTTGTTTATTGGTCCAGTGGTGAGGATTTTTGTTTTCTTGACATTGAGATGCTATCCATACCGAAGGCTGTGTTCCTTGATCTTCATCAGTAAATGTTTCAAATCCTCTTCACTTTCAGCAAGCAAGATTGTATCATCTGCATATCGCAGGTTGTTAACAAGTCTTCCTCCAATCCTGATGCCACGCTTTACTTCATAGAATCCAGCCTCTCATATTATTTGCTCAGCATACAGGTTGAATAAGTATGGTGAAAGAACACAACCTTGTCATAATAAATTGTTAAGGCTCAAAGTGTGGCTTTTTATCTAGTAGGTCTTCTGTTAGTGATAAGCCAGTTCCTAGTAATGCTAGGAGTCCTGGTATGGCACTGGGTTAATATGCTGGGCTGCAAAGTCAGTTTGAACCACAAGGTCAGCAGTTCAAGCTCACCAACCTGCACCTCGGAAACCCTATGCAGGGTCGCTATGGGTAGGAACCAACTCTATGACACTTAGCAACAAGTGATGCCAAAGTTTAGATCTTAGTGTTCAACTTGCGCCCCGTCACCATAGGAGGTTAAAGGTTCTGCCTCTGTGCTCATCTGCCTCTCATACCAACTCCAGATACCTTTTCTGGCACCTGCTAACTGTAAATGCAACTCTTCTGACTAACCAACAGGAGCAAGGTCTGATCTTCCACGTGAAAGAGTTGCTCTGAAATGCTAACTGTACCCAGAATTACAGGCACCCACCAAAAATGTGGGAACCCTGGAGTCACCCAGACTTCCAACTAACTGGTTAAAATGTGATTGCTCACACTGCCCCCTAGGATTCAGTAATTTGCTGGAATGATGCAGAACTTAGGAAGTGCTTGACTAATGTTTGAATATAACAACAGCATACAAATTAGGGCCAGCATAAAGCAGAACCACACTTAGTGAGGTTTGCAGTGTCAAATGCAATGTCCCCATGTCTCGAGCATGCCTTCTCTTCCACGCACATACGTCTCACCAACCAGAAAGTTCTGAACTTCAATTTCCAGAGTTCTTTGCGGGGTTTCCTTATTTAGGCTTGATTGAATCATTGGTAAAATGTTTGAACTCAGTCTCCATTCGGTCCCCTTCCTGGAATTCAGATAGATGTAGTTCTGATACCACATGGTGAGACTTTTGAGTCCCACACCTTGAATCATTTCATAAGATGGTATACAGTGTTCTCTGGCATCCTCTAAACATTGGAGACATTCTAAACATTCAATAAATACTTTATATGAAGTCTTTTATCACCACACAATACAACTATTTCTTTGTTTCTTTTTTATTAAAAGTTTGTCAGTTTTTCTGAATGTCCACCAGTTACTGTTATTAACAATTCTTATCAGTTATTTTAAGATTTAATGTTTATATTTCAAATTTACAATTATATACTGAAACTCTCCAAATACTAGAATTTTCATCCGCCTATACAATATGTTCTTTAAATACTCATTTTTCATAAATGAGAATTTTGATATTAATATATTCATCACAATTATAGTTTTCAATAATAAAGATAATTGTTGTTAAGTGCCGTCGAGTCAGTTCTGACCCACAGTGACCCTATATA